TTGAATTTAAATAATTCGATATATGTTAGACAAGATTCAATGTATACCAATTTAATTCAAATATGTAATATTAAACATATACCAATTTAAAATAAGTATAAAATCGGAATTGAATGACATTTAATATTCAATGTTTCAATTCAAAATATTTTTAATTCATTAAATAGTATGAGTAATATTCTTTTGTACAATTGTATTGACATTCGCGTGGGTATGTTTATTACTTGTATTTGAAGTATTCAAGTTTACTAATAAGATATGAAGTGTTGTTTTACATTTTGAATCACATAGAAAATGATATTTATCTCAGAGTGGTTTACTGAAAATTATGGAAAAACAACAACGGTTGCTATTGTATTTTGAAATCAATATAGAGTATGTTATACATAATTAATTAGTTAGTTGAATATTTGGCACTATGAATTTTATTTATTAAGCAAATGTGTACACAGTTTTATCTTTTTCTCAAGTATTATTGGATGTTGTAGATGGGGGTTCTTTATTATTCTCCTGAAGAATTTCTAGTTCCACCTCCTTTGCAACAACCAAATACTCCCGTGTTGTTAGATAAAAAAATAATAACCATGGCAGAATGCATGATATCCAACAACCCATCAATGACATCTTTCAATTTCTGTCTTGCAGTATTTATATTCTCTGAATTAGTGCGGACATTTTGTAGCATCTATTTTGTAAGTATTTTTGTCAACTTATGGATTATGTATGGGCACATTAAGTTTTGAAGTCTGCACATCATATTGTTTAAACACAATCAGTTTTGTTGCTTTCTGTTATCATGACATTGTGTTGATGTGCACACATTTAGTTAGTATGTTTTTAATGTAAAACATGTGGGCACATTAGATTCTAGTGTGTAGACAATCGTCCAGTCAGACATTCAATACAAATGTTGTGTTTTCATTTGTAGCTAGGATATTTTTCTAGACCTGAGATATGTGTAAGTGGTCTATATACAGATGTTAATAGCTCAGATGGTGTACTTAAAATTTGTTTACCTTTTCAAAAGTGGTCCAAAGAAAGTAGGTGAAAACTTTCTGAAAATAGGTAAACATGTAAGAAGTTGTTGGCTAGTTGTTTAGTGAATTGTTGAGCAAGTTTTCTTTATATTCTTCATCAACCTTGAATTTACGTTTGAGCCTGAATATTCCTCATATTGTTATCTGAAAATCCTTTGAGGTCTATTTCATTTTAATTTAGGTTCCTTTACACTTTGGTAAGCTTAAAAATACCTTGTTAACCATTTGTTTGTTTGAGAGTTGTTGGAACGTGGTTCCATTGATGAAAAGCTTGACGGGATTTCAAGCTATGGAGCTGAAATGCATCTTCAGTGTTGAAGCTTGAGTGGAGCTCGAGCTATCCAAGGGGTGTCTTGGATTCAAGCAAGCTGTGGCAAGACGTGGATCCTCCAAAGGATGAAGTTAGAGTGTAGTGAAAATAGGGAGTGTTTTACTTTTTGTTGCTTAACTTCAACTTTGAAAATGAACCTTGAATGTTTGCTATAATGGATTTGCTTCCTCTAGATTTGGTTACATAGATGTAGATAGTTGGCTGAACCATGTAAAATACATTTGTGTTCTTTACTTTATGTCTTGAATGTATGTTATGTGTTGATGATCAATGCACAAACCCACAAGCAGAAATGAACATGATTAATATATTTCGCATAAGTTTAATGAACTTGGTTAAGTTATAAACTTTCATCTGGTATCAGAGCACATTCTGAAGAGTCATTTCATTAATCCTTGCTTGTTGTTTGTGCTTTAGGCTTTAGCCTTGTTTTTAAGCCTGTTGTTTTTTGTGTATTTTTGTGCGATTTTTGAGCAGTTTGTATCGCTACAGCGTTTGTGACCACATCTGTGTTGTGTGTCTCCATATCTAATTTGCGTGTTTGTGTCTCGCTACAGTGTTTGTGACCACATCTGTTTTGCATGTTTGTGACTGTGTGTGACCAAATTTCTTTTGGTTGTGTCAACATCTCCTATGTGTTTACCATGAACTTTTTAGTGAAGGAGGGTCTATAAATAGACCACCCATGTTAGAGGGACCAAAGTGTGCTTTTTGGAAACCTAGGATGCATGCCTTTTCAAAGTCTATAGATGAAAGGGTGTGGATGTCATGTGTGGTTAGTTGGAAAGCACCTAAAGCTATTGAAGAAGAGGTGACCAAGCCAAAACCAATTGAAAAGTGGACCAAGAGTGAGCTGGATCTTGCTAACGTTAACTCAAAAGCCATTGTGAAATTGCAAAAGATGCTTGGGATAAACTTCAAGTAAAAAATGAAGCAATAGACACTGTTAAAAAGACTAGGCTTCGGAGATTGGTTACTAACTATGAAAATCTGACTATGCATGAAGATGAAATAGTCACGGATTTTCATGGCAGGATATGTGATGTGTCTAAAGAGTGTTATGCTTTGGGTAAAGTATATACTAATGTTGAACTTGTCAGGAAGGTCTTGTGGTCACTGCCCAAAAGATTCATGTCAAAGGTAAATAATGTTGAGACCTTGATACCATACAATTGGACGAGTTGATTGGATCCTTGCAAACTTGCGAACTCAATCTGAAAAGGTGGGATGAGAAATCAGGTAAAGGCCTTGCTCTAAAGCATGAGGTAATTCCTAATCCCCTTGAAAATTTTGATGTGAGTGATTTAGATGATGATACGTGTGCCTTACTCACAAAAATTTTTGCCAAGTTTCTGAAAAAGAACATGAAAAAGCCAAATATGGTTAGAAAAGGCAGACAACCTTTTGCGAAAAAATTTCTGACCAATCTGGTCAAGGTGCTATTTTGAAAATATTTTCAAAATAAAATGAAAAGAAGAACAAAAGCATTGAATGTTTTGAGTGTGAGGTATACGGGTATGTCCAGGCAGAGTGTGCCAATTGATAATCCTATTTTTTATGGAGATTTCACATTGAATTTCAATAGGATTTGGGGTAATTTTCATACATTTTGGGCCATAATTAATTCTATTAATTTTACTTTACAAGCCTAAACAATGATTTTGAACATAAAATCATGATTTTGAGTGCAAAATGATGGTTTTGAGCGTAAATGACATAACTTGAGCTTGTAAATTTGGAATTACCTGAATCTAGAATCTATGGAAAGATAAGAAGTAGAATTATAACTTTCATGTTTTGGGTTTTTCCTAATTTTGACTGGAAGAGGGTGAAAACTTAGTTTGAAGTTGTGAAAGGCAAATTTGCTAACTGAATATGATGTCTTTGGACATGACTCAGTATTTTGACCATAACTTGAGCTATTGAACTAGGATTAGGATTATTCTTAAATGAGTAGAAATATAATTGCAAGGGCTACAATTCTTATGTTTACCAATTTTCCATATTCAGATGTGATCATGCTCAAATTTGACCTGAAAGATCTTCCCCGTAGCAAAGAAAAAGTTTCGCCTTGGTGAAATTGCGTCTGATGCAAAAAAAATAAAACGACACATTTCGGCTTACTAGGGCTTCATACTTAAGTGAGAGGGGTATAAGTTGGAGTGAGAATAAAGGGAAAGGAAGGTTGGAGGTCTCTGGTTCGTTCAAGGAAGGAGAGGACATTTGGAGAAGAAGAGAAGTGAAGATTCAAGCCAAATCTTAGAGAAGATTTTTCCATGATGAACTTTGATTGCTTTTGTTCCTCTTATTTTATTTCAATTTTGAGCATGAACTAAACTGTTGAGTTAGGGTTTTGATGTAACCTTTGATACAATAGTTAAACTTATATGATTTGATTTGCTTTGAGTACTAATATCATGATTTGAGTGTTTATTTCTATGCTTATTGTCTTTGGATACTTGATCACCGTTCAAATGATTTGTTGTTCATGATGAGACTAAGAAGGGATTCATGATATGTGTTTCTTGTGATAAATACCATAGGTTGAGCAAAATCTAGAGATAGACAAGCGCGATCTATGAAATCTTGGAAGAATTCCATGAAGCTTAATAGCCTTTGAACTATTAACTTTCAATTTTTGGGTGTGGAAGGTTAATAGGAATAGGTGGTTTTGATATAACCTGAGAAGGAGTATCAAACAATATACAGAATTCGATTTTCAATCAAGAATTAGAGCTTGGGTAATAAAATCTATAAATTGAACTAGCGTATCTAATTGAAATCAAATACCCTAGCGTTTTTAAGTACTATTTGATTTATTTAGATATTGGGTTTTTGCTTTAATTTCATTTTCATGAATTAGTTGTTAATCTTTTCTTTAGATTGTCAATATTTCATCACTAGATAGTTTGATTCTTCAATTAGTGTTAAACTAGAGAAATTGGTAGTTAGTAACTCTATCCTTGTGGAAACGATACTCTATTTATTACTTTATTAATTTTTGTGACTAGTGCACTTGCTAAATATGCATATGAAATCATGCATCAAGTTTTTGGCGCCGTTGCCAAGGATAGTTGATTATTGATATTGATAGTATCTGGTATGGTGCTAATTTGAAGCTTTATTTCATTTTTGTAGTTAATCTTAAATATTGTATAGTTTTGAGCTTGAGTTCTTTTGTTTGTAGTTTTTACTTTTATTTTTGTAGTTGACTATAAATTTTTTGAACAGTTAAATTTGAATTTTTTCTTGTGCGAAGATCATGGCAGAAGTACATAGAACATTGAAGGAGTTTGCTGTACCAACGGTTGAAGGTTGTAGTCCAAGTATTGCAAGGCGAACAATTTTGAGATTAAGCCGGCAATAATTTAGATGATCCAACAGTCCCAATTTGGTGGAAATTCATATGAGGATCGGAATTTGCATATTGCTAGCTAGTTTTTTGGAGATATGTGATACATTCAAGCACAACGGAGTGACAAATGATGCCATTAGGTTGAGACTATTTCCATTCTTGTTGAGAGATAAGGCTAAGGGATGGTTAATGTCACTACTAGTGGGAACTATCACCACATGGGACATGCTAGCCCAAAAGTTCCTTGTGAAATATTTCCCATCGGCTAAATCAGCAAAGATGCAAAATGACATCACATCATTCATGCAAAACGACAATGAGTCATTATATGAATCATGAGAAAGATATAAGGAATTATTAAGGAAGTGTCCACACCATGGTTTTCCTATTTGGACGCAAGTCCAAACCTTCTATAATGGGTTGCTATCAAATTTCAAACAATGGTTAATATGGCATCCGAGGGAGCACTAAAAGGCAAAACACTTGAAGCAGCTTATGAGTTACTTGAGTCTTGGCGAGCAATAACTATTAAAGACCCAATGAGAGAATAATACCAAAGAAGAACATGGGTCCACATGAAGTTGATGCTTTCACCGTATTATCTGCCCAACTTGCAACACTTAAAAAACAAATAGGAGGTATGCAAGTTAATTCTGTTCAAACATCTCAACTAACTTGTGAATTATAATCACGCGAGTATTGAATGCCAAGTAGGGAACGCGTTCATTTATTCATCCTCAGAACAAGTTAACTATTTGGTTAGAAATCAAAGATCGTTGAACAATCCATACTCCAACACATACAATCCAGGTTGGAGAAACCACCCAAATTTATCCTGAAGCAATCAAGGAGGTCAAAGACTGGTGGTAAATCATCAACTGCAAGATCAAAGATTGCCAAAGTTGGAGGACATGTTTGGAAAGTTTATGCAAGAAACCACAAACTTCATGAATGTGACGAGAACAAACTTCAGACACCAAGAAGTATCTATTTGGAATTTGGAGGTTCAACTGGGTCAACTATCTGAACAGTTGACAAAAAGAGCTCACAATTTTTTTGCCTAGCAAGACTGTGACAAACCTAAGAGAGCATGCAAATGCAATTATGTTAAGAAGTGGAATAGTCTTGGAAGAGATTGAAGCAAAAAAAGAAGAAGTGAAAAATCCTAAAAAGATGGAAGAATCTGAAGAATAAGTTGATGAATATATTACCATTGAAGAGAAAGTCATGGAACCACAAAAGGAAGATCCCAAGAAATAGAAGGCACAGAAGACAAGAAAAGAAAAGTTACAATTTCTTAAGATCACATCGGAGCTTGCATATCACACTCCTTCAATTCCGACTCAGAAAACAAAATCAGGATAAACAATTCTTTAAATTTCTTGATGTATTTAAAAAGTTGCATATTAACATTCCTTTTGTAGATGCGTTGCAACAAATGCCAAGTTATGCGAAATTCTTGAAGGAGTATCTATCGAACAAGAGGAAGTTGCAAGAGGAAGTTGCAAGAGGATGAGACAGTGATGCTCATAAAAGAATGCATCGCCATACTTCAGAAGAAGATGCCTCTAAAACTAAAAGACCCAAGGAGTTTAACTATTCCTTGTGTTATAGGAGATATTCAATTTGACAAAGTTCTGTGTGATCTAGGTGCCAACAATAATTTGATGCCTTTTTTGTTTTCAGCAAATTGGGGATCGGGAAGTAAAACCAACAATGGTTTCTCTTCAACTTGTGGATAGATTAATTAAACATCCATGGGGCATTATTGAAGATGTTTTGGCCAAGGTGGATAAGTTTATTTTTCCCACAAATTTTGTGGTTTTGGACATGGAGGAAGATAAGGAGATACCACTTATTTTGGGAGTTCGTTAATGGAGAAAGGGTTTTGAAGAAAGGAAGAAAACTTGAAGGTTCAAGGAGAAATAGAGAAGATTTCTTGTTTCTTTTGCTTTAATTTCATGATGAACTCTGAATTTCTTAATTTGTATTTGATTTTTCCTATTTTCAGTATGAACTAATTCGTTTTAGTTAGGGTTTTGGTGGATCCATGTTTACAATGACTTAATCTATGATATTCGTGTTATTTTGAATTCTATTGGCTTGATTAAGTGTTTATCTCTGTTTTCAATGCATCTGAATGTTGGGTATTTATTCAAATGATGTGTTGAACATGATGAGGTTGAGAAGTGACTCGTGTGAGCTTCTTGAGGTAGATATCTTAGGTTGAGCGAAAACTAGAGATAGATAAACATGACATTTGAAAGCTAGAAGAATTCCACACACTTAAGAGACTTTGAACTATTAATCTTCAAATTTTAGGTGTGGAAGCTTAATAGGAATAGGTGGGGTGTATAACCCAAGAGGGAGTGCCAAACACTTTAGGGAGTTCAATTTTTAATAATTGCCTTAGAATTTGGATTCATAGGTTTGAGTAACTTGGTGAAGTTATAAACCCTAACTTCTTTGTGTTGAGTGAGTATCACGTTTGAGTTAGTTTAGTTTTAATTACAATTTTAGTAGTTGATAATTGTTTGTTTTTGTTTAGTTGTTTATCTTCTGCCAATCCAAATCTTTATGTGCTCCAATTAGTAATAGAATAGAGAATTTGGTAATTAGCACACAATCTCTATGGGATGATACTCTTCACATCACTTTATTACTCGTGCAACTAGTGCGCTTGCTATCTTAAGTTTGGGGGTATTTGATAATCCTATTTTTTATAGAGATTTTGCATTGAATTTCAATAGGATTTAGGATCCTTTTCATACATTTTGGGCCATAATTGTTACTTAATTCTGTTATTTTTACTTTGCAAGCCTAAACGATGATTTTGAGCATAAAATGATGATTTTGAGCATAAAATGATGGTTTTAAGCGTAAACAGAGTAACTTGAGCTTGTAAATTTGGAATTACCTAAATCTAGAATCTATGGAAAGATAAGAAGTAGAGCTACAACTTTCATGTTTTGGGTTTTCCCTAATTCTGACTGGAAGAGGGTGAAAACTTGGCTTGAATTTGTGAACAACACATTTATAAATTAAATATGACGTCTTTGAATGTGCTTCAGTATTTTGACCATAATGTGAGCTGTAACCTCAGATTGGAATTATTCTTAAATGAATGGAAAGATAATTGAAAGGGCTACAATTTGTATGTTTACCAAGGTTCCATATTCAGATATGATCATGCTCCCATTTGGCCCGAAAGCTCTTCGACATGGCAAAGAAAAAGTTTCACAAGGGCAAAAATGTGTCTGATATAAAAAAATAAAACGACGCGTTTTGGCTTGCTAGGGCTTCATACTTAAGTGAGAGGGGTATAAATTGAAGTGAAAATGAAGGGAAAGGAAGGCTAGAGGTCTTTGGTTCGTTCAAGGAAGGAGAAGACACTTGGAGAAGAAGAGAAGTGAAGATTCAGGCCAAATCTTAGAGAAGATTCTCTAAACTTGTTTATTTTTCCATGATGAACTTTGATTCCTCTTGTTCCTCTCATTTTATTTCAATTTTGAGCATGAACTAAACTATTGAGTTAGGGTTTTTATGTAACCTTTGATACTATAGTTAAATTTATATGATTTGATTTGCTCTGAGTGCTAATTTCATGATTTGAGTTTTTATTTCTATGCTTATTGTCTTTGGATGCTTGATCACCATTCAAATGATTTGTTGTTCATGATGAGACTAAGAAGTGATTCATGATATGTGCTTTTTGTGAATAAATACCATAGGTTAAGCAAAATCTAGAGATAGACAAACACAATCAGTGCATTCTTGGAAGAATTCCATAAAGCTTAATAGAGTTTGAACTATTAAACTTCAATTTTTGGGTGTGGAAGGTTAATAATAATAGGTGGTTTTGATATAACTAAGAAGGAGTATCAAACAATTTAGGGAATTCAGTTTTCAATCAAGAATTAGAGCTTGGGTAATAGAATCTATAAATTGAACTAGCTAATCTTGGTGAAATCAAATACCCTAGCGTTTTTAAGTGGTATTTGATTTGTTTGGATATTAGGTTTTTCCTTTATTTCATTTTCATTCGTTAATTGTTAATATTTTCTTTAGATTGTCAACATTTCATCACTTGATTGTTTGATTCTTCAATTAGTGTTAAACTAGAGAAATTGGTAGTTAGTAACTCTATCCTCGTGGGGACGATACTCTATGTATCACTTTATTATTTTTTGCGACTAGTGAACTTGCTAAATATACATATGAAATCATGGATCACCAACAATTTGAAGAAAAAAGATAAACCAATGGCTTCTACCCTAAGTGAGAGTGATAAGGAAGAAAATGAGAGTGAAGAAGATGAGCCTGACGAGAGTGAGAACTTTTTAACTTTTACTGTTAATCAAGAGGACATTGAGAGTGTGGCCTCTAACGACTCTAGTGATTTCTATGTAGAGCAACACAAAGCTTATGATAAGATGTATGAGTCATGGTTAAAAGCAATCAAGAAGGTAAAATCTCTTGAAGCCGAAAAATCATCTTTGGTAGAGGACAAGAAAATTTTGTTTGACAAAGAGAAAATCTTGTCTTCTGATTTGACCAAAAAAAGTCTTTGTTATGTCAAGCTTTAAATGAACAAACTAAGACTATGACCATTGTTGATAAGTTAAATGTAGGTTCATACAAGCTTGATGAAGTGCTTGACCAAGAAAAGATGTTTGGAGATAAATTAGGCTTGAGATTTACTCCAGGTGCAAGCACATCCCCTTCTGGTGTGCGCACATTCGTCAAGGCTTCAAAATCTCCTTCTACTGTTGTTGCTATTGCTATTGCTGTCAATCAATCTCTAAAGGTAAAAAGGTTTGTCTAGTTTTCATTTTTGTCATAGGAAATGTCACATCAGACCAAAATGCTACAAACTCATTTCTTATTTGAAAAAATGTCTTGATGATCATGAAATGCTCACTCAAATGTCACCACATCCAAAAGATGCATTCAAAACCAAAAGGGTGTGGAAACCCAAGTCTAGTGTAAGCTATCTTGTTGCACATATATCATTGCCTGCATTTAAAAAATATCAACGGTACTTTGACAATGGGTGTTCTAGACATATGACAGGTTCAAAGCCCTTTTGACTATCCTTGAATTCATTGATGTTGACCATGTTACCTATGAAGATGGGAAAAGAGGTAAGATTTTTGGAAAAGTTTCAATAGACAACCCTGGTTTTTCTATGTTAAATGATGTTTTGTATCTTGAGGGACTAAAGGCCAATCTGATTAGCATTAGTCAAATATGTGATAAAGACTTTGTTGTGTAATTTTCTAAAACCAAGTGTCAAGTCTTGAATGCTAAAGGTACTTCCTTGCTTGAAGGAAAAAAGTCTAATGATAATTGCTATATGTTGTCTAACAAAGTTACTTGTTTT